GCAATATTTGCCCTTTTTCGTAAAAGGTTTAATAAGATGCAGAAATGCCAAAAGCATATGTGAAAAATTGCGTTTTCTTCAAAAATTATAATTTATTAAAGAATACTGTTCAGTCTAGAAACGTCCGTACTTCTATGGTGCCGTAAAACACCCTATCTGTTCGATCAATGCGATAACATAATGCGCATTAGAGAAAACAATCAAAGTGGATAATAAGCAGAATATAACAAGATATACCAAATGATGTGAAATGAAAACAATTTTTACGTAATTGAAGAGCAGGAGATAGACACCACTCAACTGCAAAAAACCGCGAGAGTGACGTCCAAACCATGATTGTAAAGGCCCTCCTTGAACGACCTTGCATGTTGTTGAGCCACCAACAAGGAATGCGATGGCGTTTGACCCCTTCTTTCTTCCACTCGATTTGTTTTATTCATACATTATCAGAAGTCTGAGTAGGTGTGTTATTTCTGATCAACCCTTGTGGGCACGTAGAAGGCAAGGATAGTCTGCCAGCATAGGTCAATACAATGCACATTCAGTTGGTCATGGAAAAAAATGCCTTATTCAAAACCGCTACTGATATTACATCGATGCAGCCTGAAAGGACTACAATAATAAAGCGGCCGCGAGATGTCGTCTAAATTAAGCTATTTTACTCGTCTTCCCGGCAGTCTCAATGTGACTTTTATTCACGATAAACCGTCTATTGGACGTAGAAGATAGGGATAGGATGCCAGCGCAGACCACCTCTAAAATACGTTAACTTGCTCTTGCTGGGCAGGCTCTATTGACCGCACCTGTAGGCGCCTATCTAAAAGAATCCGCGATCACCTACCAGCACGGTTGAGAGGAAGCACATTTAAGAACACAGACATACTTATTCTCTCACTTATTATTGATTTAGGGCGTCGTGTGAGCCCCAACGAAACCATCGATTTATTAGCCAGGTTTGACCGAAGTCATTTAAGCAATTTGTTCAATGCCTGACCGCAAGGCAGAAGCGACTACAATCTGGTCATGGAAGTCGGACTTGTGCGCGCAGATGGATCTGCTGCAAGTACGTTCATCATTTAAGTACCGTTGTTTCAAAAGGCAAAGTTCCTGGGCTCCATGGGGTATACAGCCCATTTTCCGAAAGTCGAGGGAAAACAGGAGCACTAGTAATTATTTGAGCGACTGATTGTAGGTGATCATTCAATTATTAAACCTCAATCAAATTCCCGTTTTCCAAGTTTTCTACGTTGGCAGGCTAGATCCAAATCAGCCCCATTAGTATAAACGGTCTAAAACGCTTGATATTAGTAACGTCTGCAAAAATGCGCATTTAGCATCCACAAGATTCGTCACTGTTGACGGTGTTTAAACGCCACCACTTCCCTGCAGTTGCTATCGTTCAGCGTACCTGAACGCGGCTGGATCGGATATAATGCATCGATCCCATGATACTTCACGTAGAACTGCCAGCACTGTGAGTTTTAAAACTACTGTAGGACATTGTTTCTAACCTATTCCATTACATGGGTGGTATCCGAAAGTCCAGACACGCCTTTGACGACACTCCTGCTACAACGCATCTGAGAGTTTTCGAATACACAGTTTGTCTTCCATCTACGTTAAAGCGGTTTCTGGGGGTTCATTTAGCAGGCGTCATAAAAGACAGGCTCGGAGACTGACTGCGTGATTGAATCCCTTACACTCGCCTCTGGCAGCAGCAGGAACAGCGTTGAGCAGTTTATGCGAGCTTTTAACTTACACACAAAAAAATACGGAAAAAAATACTGGCGCATACGTGTACAAGAAAACGACTTTATAGGTTGCAGATGAAATAACCCCTACTGATAAATCATTGCAACAGGGTGCTCAGCCGTAAATGCAGCTTGGGAAATCAGTTTAAATTTAACCATGCCCAACAACGCATTGCTGGCTTAGTTGAACTTTGTGCCCGTCCACTTCAACCGCATTTGATTTCCCCGTTTGAATTAATTACGTCTGTCTACATTTGTTTCGTCATCTCGCCACACTCTGATGTTCACATATTCGGTTGGGAACGAAATTTCCAGCTTTATGAAAAAGCGATTGAATCAGGCATTTTGCATGGGGCACTCTAACGGAAGTTCGTTCTATCTTCTACTCAGTGTGCTCAAAACTGTTGCGGGAAGTAGTTGAGGATGCATGCGCTACGTGCATCAACTGTTAGTCGTGGCTATCATCAGACGGTATCATGTATATTATTCAGAGTCGCCAGACGGCAATTTGTGTCATATAGCTGGATGCAGCACTGACACTACATTTTTTATGAAGCATCACGCATATCGTCACGCTAGTCCGACATTGTGGGACTCTTTCTTAACAATCATTGAAGAATAACCTTATGTCTGACGTATCGACGCTCGACACTATTGCATTTTACTGTTTTAAATCATACCTGGCAATTTTACACATAACAGAAAATGCTAAATCACAAATCCTCTACAGCAATGATTTCCAAATGACTCCTACATAGGCCACTGGAAAGATCCCATTCAAATGAACTTCGCTGCCTTGCCGGAATCTGCAGTATATATTTGATCCAGCAGCATTGAGCTACACAACACGATAGTAATTGCTGGTAAGTGTCATTCACGGGGGATAATATGGATGTTAGCCAGGCACATTAGAAAGCATTCTTTGCATTAGGGCTATGCGCATGACTTAACAAATATGGAGCAGATTGGGATATATCCTGAAAATATAGAGAATTTCGAAAACAAGAATTTCAATAAAGACAAAGCATTTTGGGAAGCGGAAGCGTCATGGGACTGATGAGAACGCACTTCATACAACCCAATGGAATATTCATTTAACTTGGTTAAATAGTTTACGCGGATTTTCTGTAGAATGCCGTTAGTGATTATAGACAGAACAGTCCAAATGAGAATGCTTCCTGAACTGAATAGATGAAAATACTGTAAAAATATGCTCGAAGAATTTTCGGGTATTTTAAAACACCGGCAAGAGTTTTGATTTCCTGGTGTGCTGATATTTAGACGGTATTCTTTAACATTCAGAAGTGGCGGTGAATGCAACACCTAAGAGCCAACGAGTTTGAAATTGGGACAGTAATAGATTTGGTGTATGAGTGTTAGAGAACACAAAACTCTGTCGAGGCGGATAGTGACTTTGTAGATTTTCAGCAAACATTGCATGATATATGCGGCGAATCCATCAAAGGTATATGAGGCACAGGCGTAAATGTGTTTGGCAGATAGTACACTTGGTATATTTCCTAGGAATAACCACGTGTGCAGTCGCACTACTCTACTTGTTCCCATAAACAGGGGCCAGTTCCTATTTTTAGGCTGTGTGAAACTTTCACACAGCGGCGACCGAGACTGACAAAACAACCGGCAAGCCATCCAGTTGTTTGCTGCTGTGTGGCACTTCCTCCCCTTATCTCGCATAACAACAGACTACCAGACTGCGCCCTGTTTTGTTTGCGAAAACGTAACGCGTTCTCCAACTGTTAAAGCGGAAACTTGATACCCTCCCCTGAAGACTCACGTGGTGCAATCGCTAACCCCTCTGTTGGACTCATAAACAGGAATAACTTCCTTTTTCACGCGCCATGGAGATTTTCTGGCAGCCTTACACACTGTCAAAACAAATCCAAATAACGCGATTGTGAACACATACGTTGGTGGTCTTTTTCTAAAGCTCAAACCCTCTATTGCCATGATTTCAAAATGACTTCCTTATCTTTCTCGGATTTCGAAAACTTGGAACGATCAGACAGTATCTCCTCTAGTTTCGCCACATAATCCGTTCTATCCATCAGTACTACTCCTATAACCTTATTTGGTCTGGTTAGCACAATGTCTTCGTTTTTGTGAAGTTCCCTAAGGCTATCGATGTGAGTCCTATTCAAGGGACCCAGGTTAATCCTAGCCTTCCTTAGATAATGTTGGCAGCAGTTAGCTAGAGTTGCCTTAAGACAATCAACTTCTTTAGAATCGCTGGGTTTTATATCTGTAGTCTGACTGACGAGACTCTCGAATTGGATTTCTAGCTTTAATTGTTTCGGTATCCGCTGTGCAATACAAAACTTAGACCCAAATGCTAGTACCTCTAGGAGAGCCTTATCAACACCTACTGATGCATAGTTATGTATGTACCGTTCCGGATGGTTCGGACGGACGGTCTGAGCTTTTACTGAACGGACGCTTCGTAGGAGTTAAGGCCATCTGGACTCCATTCTTTTAATTCTAACTGGCTCTGCATAGTCTTTAAATGCCAGTACAGTTCAGTTCAGTTCAGTTTATTGAGGGAAATAGGCGTAAGCCTTTAAGTACCCTATTTGCAACGTAAAAAATGTGTGGTGTACAGATAGATGTTCTGGGCTGAAATAGTTCGAACACGCCCATAATGGTGGGACAAAATGAGAAGGAGTTACAGGGGGTGAGCTCGACTTCTCATCGCTCTTGGTCATTTCGGAACATAAATATGTCCAGATTCTTCTTAAAACTTTGTATAGATGGTGACATCACAACATCTGCGGGAAGCTCATTCCACGGTTTGACCACCCGAACCGAGAAGGAGAACTTCCGCACATCCAGCCGTGCCTGCTGACTGCGCAGTTTTAACGGGTGACCTCGGAGGTTGGTCGTGGTAGCAAATTCAAAAAAGTCCTCGAAGGCCAGACTGCAATCCAACCCCTTTACAATGCGGAAGGCTTGCAAGAGATCTCCGCGAAGTTGCCTGAAACTCAAAGGAAAGAGGTTCAGATTTACTAGGCGGGTCGCATAAGGAAAGGAGCTTTGACCCCTGACCATCTTCTTGGCTCTCCCCTGGACTCTTTCGAGGCAGTTTTGATCCACAACACCCCACGGCCTCCAAGCTTGTATGCCGTGCTCTAAATGCGGCCGGACGAATGTTCCGAATGTCTTAGAGAAAGCTTCTTCGTCAAAGTCCATAAACGCACGCTTGATGGCGTACAGTACGGACATTGCGGTTTTTGCCACCCTCGAACAGTGGGCGGATGGTTTTAGGGAACTCGTCGTAAGCACACCGAGGTCCTTTTGGGCTTCGACCTCTTGTAGGGCTGCACCGCCCAGAAAGTAGCCTCTTGTGCTGGCGGATCTGGCTGTGTTGCCTAGGCGAAGTATGCTACATTTGGCAACGTTGAACCGCAGGAGCCAACGGTTTGACCACTCCTCCAACCGATTCAGGTTCATCTGCAGTCTGTCTTCATCGGCAGGACTACGAATTACACTCCATATCTTCATGTCGTCCGCAAACATTGCTACTTTACAGTCCAAATCTCTTGCGGCATCGTCCACGTAGATAAGGAACAAAAAGGGTCCCAGTACTGAACCCTGGGGGACACCACTTTCGACCATAGCCGGATCTGATTTTCCCGACCGACGCACACAACCTGGTGTCGACCCACAAGGAAGTTTTCGATCCATTTATGGAAGTTGCCACCGATCCCTATTTTTTTCAGCTTATGTAAGAGCCTTTGGTGTGGCACAGTGTCGAAAGCCTTCTGGAAGTCGATGAAGGCTATGTGGACCGCGTGCCTGTCGTCGAGAGCTTGGGTCCAGCTCTGGAGAGATTGCAGCAGGTTTGTCGTACAGGATCTTCCATTTCGGAACCCATGTTGGCATTTCGATAGCAGGCCGTGAACTTCCAGGAATTGCATTAGTTCACACTTTATGATCCTTTCCATAACTTTGCAGAGAATGCATGTCAAGCTTATGGGCCGGTAATTTGTCGTCGCTGCCCTGTTACCTCCTTTGTGTAGCGGAGTAATATGCGCCAGCTTCCAATCGACAGGAAGTGTTCCAGTGTCAAATGACGTTTGAAAGAGCATCGACAAAGGCACAGAGAGCTCACGGGCAAGTTCCTTCAGAAGCTTGGATGGAATCTCGTCTGGTCCTGGCGACTTCGATTCGTTCAATGCCTCTAATTCTCTTCGGACAATGCCTTCTGAGAAGAGTATATCACTGACGCTTAGAGTCGGCAGTTCTTCTGTGGAGGGAGGAAGGAACCTTGCCTCGTTTGTGTAGACTGATTGGAAAAACCGTGAAAAATACGCAGCTTTATCCCTACTATCAGCGATCTCAACGCCATCAGTAGTCTTTATCAAGGGGATTTGATGCCTGTTCCTTGTAGTTCGTCGGAGGTAGCTGTAGAGCAATTTTGGGTTCTGCGTTGCTTTTTGTATCAAGTTCTTCTCGAATTCCCGCCGCGTCTGAATTATCAGCTTCCTCAGTTTGTTCCTCTGTGTCTTGTAGGTGTTGAAGCATTCAGCTTGTCTGGTGACGCAGTATTTTCTCCACAATTTGTGCTTCCTGTTGATTTCTTTTTTGAGGTTGCTATTTAGCCACCCAGGGCGTTTGTTCAGTCTTACACTAGTCAGTGGGCAGTGGTTGTTGATGAGCTGCAGAAGGACATTCTTGAACAGCTCCCAGTCATCGTTGGCACTTCCCATAAACAAAGAGCCCCAGTCACGACCGGATAAGTCTGCCCTCATCTGATAGAAATCGCCCCGCCAAACATTACGCCTTTTGTGGCCTGGAGTGTGTGAAATGGAGAATAACGAATAATCCCACATAAGCACTACGTGGTCACTTCGGCCAAGGGGCGGCATGGAGGCGATTTCGTCTATGCTGTCTGGTGTTTTCGTAAAGACCAGATCCAGGCAGTTTGCCCTTTGTCCTTCACGTGTTCTCGTTGGGAACATTACATGCTGTGTGAGGCACGCATTTAATTTCTTGCTCAACAGGCGGTAATCGAATGCCGATTTTGGACCTGACGCTTGGAGGGTATTCCAGTTTGTTCCTGGTGCGTTGAAGTCGCCCATGATCATGATGTTAGGTCGACTGGAAAATTTCTCCAACTGCTCCAATAGTTGAGTGTCGGCGATTCGGTCTGTCCGAGGTGGTCGGTAGACAGTGAGGACATCGAGACACGGGGAACCGGTAGTCTTGATGGTCAACCAGATAGCTTCCGTACTGCACACAAACTTGGTGGTGTTATCCGACACTGCCAGACCGTCATTCACATACACAACGATACCACCACCCTGACGATGTTCCCTGTCCCTCCGATAAATTTGGTATCCAGGCAAGGGTACTTCGTTATCGCTAATAGTCCCGGACAGCCAGGTCTCAGTTACTGCTAAAACATCTGGAGACAGCTCAACAAGGCAAAGTTTTAGTTCGTCTTGTTTCGATAGGAGGCTTTGGGCATTCGTGTACAAGCACCTCAGTTTAGCACCAGCCGAATTTCCCGTTGCATTTGTTACTGCTGTGAGCATTACTCCGTTATCGCGGACGTCGTGTTCTCTAAGCTCTTCCGTTACCTGATTGGTTCCTTTTACATGCCTTGTTTCAGTCAGATCACTGGACGCTACGGGCTCACTTGTATTGGCGCCTTGATCAGGTGGTTCAACGAAGGTGTCTGTTTTACCTGAGTAGATGTCGTCGTTCGTACTATTACAGGCTGGTTCCACTGAAACGGCATATACTTCCGAACTACATTCCCCTTGAAGATAGCCAGATTGTGTTCGCCATCCTTCAGTCTTGATTTTAACTCCAAGACAAGTTCCCGGCGTTTCAACCGTTCCGCTGGTGAATAGTCCGGTTGAAAAAAACCTGTTTGTGTGTGTTTCCGAGATCGGTTTTTTTAGAGAGGATAAACTTGATTTGCTCTTTGTTCTCCAGCATAATTTTGAGAGGGCGAGTTGGTTGTGCTACTGTCCTGTCTTCACTCCTTTTTCCTATCCGGAATGCTTTCAGAACCTTTATTTCCATGTCTGCCGGCAGTAAATGATTTAGCAGACCATGAAAGGAAGCAAGGTCCTCTGAGACACGGTCTTCAGATCTGACTGCATTCGATTCTGACAAACCCTGAATAACCAGACACTGCTAGCGAGCATGGTCCTCCTTACTCTGTCTTTCCGGTGAATGCGCTGCATGTGGGCGAGGACGATTTACGGAGTCATCGCTTGGACGCACACTTTTGCTGTCTTCCGACTGTCCCGAGCAACCCAACAGGGCTGGCTGGGACATTAGAATCCTGTCATGGCGTTTCCCTCTCCCATCTACCCACTGGTTTATGTCTTCACATTCAGATACGTGCTCTGTAGTGCGCTCGGGGTGGTTGCCAGAACAAGAGGGCAAGCGTAGACTGGATGACCCAGGTATATCGTCTCCAGGCAGAACAGAAATCCCATCACTTACAGCAAGAGGCTTAGGTGACATGGATTCCGAGATAGGTAATTTTTTTGCGACATCGCTTAAGACACCGTGCGTGGGAATCGAGTCTCCCTTTATCGGCGGCTTCGTTTTCATTCTCCTGCTGTTACCGGCGTCTGCGGTTTTGGCTGTTGAGTTGCTACTCGTGTTTGAAGATACCCCCAGGGAGATAATTTTTTCGCGTTTTTTGCGTTTTGCTATTCGTTTTTGGGATACTAACACTGGACACGTTCCGGCCGACTAAGGTCTGTTGCACGAGCGTCCTTAAATCAGCAAGCTCCTTTTCCAGTTGTTCTACTTTGATTTGAATATCTGCGCACCCAGCACAAGGCTCGACTACGTACCTCACACTTTTTGCGGTATTTACGCTTTTTGAACGCTTTGCTGGTCTTTGGCTGGAGGCGAAGGTAGAGCGAGCACAGGCTCTGGATGCGAAGGACAACTCACAGGACTTATCTTCCAAAGAGGTGCCGTCGCTGGCCGTACTACTACAGTTAGCCTGCTGAGAATCCATATACTTCGACGTGATATAATAGGTATAATTCCGCTTTCGATGTTATTACGAATACGTCCGCTTATATATGATGAATTACAGTGAGTATTCAAAACTCAATAAAGGAAAAATACTTAAAATCCTATAAATTTTATTGAATTTAATCAGAAGCGACTTAGCCCTTTCCAGATCTCGTGGGACTTAAATAACTGCAGACCTTGAAGGATTTTCAGCGATTGGTTTTCTAGGCTGTATAACGTGAATCGGTTGTGTAGCCAGTTGCGTTGTCAGTTGGACCGTGCTGATAAACAAATTGCACTTAATCCAGGTTCCAGACGAATTTCGATGCGTGAAAAAATATTCGAAAAATGCACAAAGTTAGTCTGTACGTACGGCTCCAGTATCAATGTCAGAGACTGTAAATGTGGGATGGAATCCAAGTCGAAATTGTCCCAATTGGAGCGCAGAATAATTCCGTCGTGCTCAGTTGGGCTCAGTAGCTCGTGGTTTTCAAGGCGGTCAGGGATACCTGATCTCTGACACAAATTCCGGTGGAGTTCTTTAATTCCGGCATTAACTGCCTCAAGGTGGATTTTGCATGTCGTTTTAGTGCAGGAGAAGTTGCGGCGATATGAGTTCTCCGTAAGGTTTTCCAGTAGTATCTGGGATATTCATTCGTTCAATATATCCTGATAAATAATTGCTCGTCCCATGTGCCTCCCCAAGTCTGGTGTTAAAATTGAGAAATCCATTGAGTCCTTTACTACCGAGGGATATTTGGATTGTCTAAGTTCCGCGAATACTCCCTTGCTACACTTGAAAAGTCCAGTTGGCAAACACGTGCTTTCAGTAATTCTTCGTCAGGCTAATACAGTTACATGAAGGAATAAATTTGTACAAAATTAACAGTGTTTATAGGTGTCTCAATGGCAATTAAGTCATTAACACTCGTCTTACTCACGCCGCCCGCATGCCGAGGTCGGCGGGTTTCGGTCCTTAGTGCTGGGGGAGGGTGGTAAGAGAATCTTTGAGTAATGTTCTTGGGTTGAGTACACAGAGTCCCCATTACTGTAATTAGGGATTTCAGGCGGCATGTCACCATCACTTGAGGTTGGCGTTGGCCACGGCGGAGAGAGCGCTTGTGTCAGGGCTTTCTGATAGCAAAACACCGGATTCGCTAGCCGTATAGCCACTGCCTCGGCCGTCGCTAGTTTCCTTTGGCGTAGGCCTTTAAAGTAGCTTGTTGGTTTCCGATAGACAACGTGAAATGTTACCTCGGCATCGACTCGGTGATCCGTATAGATTGAATGGGCGAGAATATAACTCGAATTCGATCGGGTATCACCTCTGTCTATTAACTTTGGCGGACGGAGGATGTTAACACTGTACGCATAATCGCTGGTTACCAGCGTACCTGTGTCAGAAACGATAAATTATCTTTGTGGTGTTATTTGTGATACGAACTACCCCAAAGGCATGTCAGTAAAAACGCTAAAAGGACTACTGACGCTTTGAACAGAAAATGTCCTGTAGTTGTGCAGAGGTCAAATATACAGACATATAGATGGTGTGGCAATGGGCTCACCCCTTGGACGTTCGTCGCAAATGTTGTTTTGGGCAGAGTCGAGAAGACAAGATTACAATATGCCAATAATGACCTCGTCTCCTACGGTCTGTACGTGGACGATATCTTCTGTCTGGCGGATATTGACGATATTAACAATATTGAAGACCTTGTCCAATATTTTAACAGTGCGCCCCCTCGCTAAGGTTCACTGCCTGAGGTAAATAACGAAATTACGTTTCTCGATGTCCTTCTACACAGGCAGGAGGATGGCTCCATCGATCGCAGGGGGTTCCGAACGAAAACATGGACGGAACAATACATAATTTCCACGGATTTGTTATCGTCATAATTAAACAAAATCTGATCCAGAGATTTGCATCTAGAGTGAGGCGCATCTGATCACCTAAGGTTATTGAAGCTGAGCTCTTACAGCTGCGGAACACACTCCTCGAGAATGGATACCCATATAGATTTATCCGGTAACCTATTGGGGAACGCATTGCAAAGCCCACTGCTGCCACTACAGAAGAGAAAGATGTATTCGTAAGGCTGCTTTTTGCAGAGGACGCAGCTAGTGAAGTAGTCAGACGGCGCTTAAATACAGCTATCGCCAGAGCATTCCCCACCTCGAATTTACGCGTATGTTTGGGAGGTAATGACAGACTACCGTTGGAGGCCATCTCAATGTGCACCTACTCATTCACTTGCTCCTGTGGAGCGAGATATATCGGCCGTACAACGAGACGCCTGGCAAAGAGGGTGCGTGAACATATGTCCGCCTTGCAAGACAGAGGTGATACCCGATCGAATTCGAGTTCTATGCTCGTCCAATTAATCTATACGGATCACCGAGTCGATGCGCAACTACAGGACATTTTCTGTTCAAAGCGTCAGTAGTCCTTTTAGCGTTTTTACTGACATGCCTTTGGGGTAGTTCGTATCACAAATAACACCACAAAGATAATTTATCGTTTCTGACACAGGTACGCTGGTAACCAGCGAT